GAAGACGCCTAACATATCCAGAACTTTGCATACCAAAGTTCTTATTTTTTTTTTTAATTACTATTGGAGCTCTGGTGGCCTAGTGGCAAGAAGCTGTGCTGCAATCCCAAAGACACGCGGTTCGAGGCCACCAGCTGTTCCTCAGGAGAAGGATGGGCAATCTCCTCCCATGCTATTAACTGCCTCTGAAAAGTCGCTGGAGGGTCAGCTATGGGTCAGTTCTGACATGACGGTACACAACAACAACATTGATATAGAAGGCCAAAGACCAGAGCAAGGAGCATAAAATAAACTATCAGAGAACAAAATTAGACACATAGAATGAAGGTTCTGTATGTGTTTTTTCTCTGAGGATAATCTGGTGCACAGTTGCTCTGTAAAGGTGTGATTGTTTGAAAGATGATGTGCTTTCTAGGATCCTGACCTTTTAAATTATTTGATCCAGACCATCTAAGAAAGAGCCTTTGACACAGCTGAGGGGGAGTCACCTAGCCCTTGTGATGGGTCACTAGTCAGATGTGATGGGGTTTATAAGAATCATTCTTAAATTTTGGGAGGGGAAGTTGTGAACAATAAAGTTAAACAACTAGAGCTTCTTAATGACTTTAGGAGAAAGTTGAAAAGGAGAGAGATACAGTATGAGAAGGAGCATGATTGGTGAGCCCTACTTCTTTCAAAGAATTCTCCCAGGTACATTCATGAGTGTGATTCACTGATCTCCATCAATGCCAAGAAGATAACTTCTCGCCCAGGAGGAAATAAAAGGTGCTGTGTAAATTATTAAGAAAAAGACTTTGGTCCTAGTTTTGAAAATGTAGGAAAAAGGCAAATTTTCAGTCATTAAAAAAAAAAAAATTGACCCTGAACTCCACTGGTCAGTAAGTCTTAATTGTATTTGGTATCAGAGGACCTGTTGATGCTTCTCTCGCTGAAGTTCAGGAAAAGTGTCTTTTCTGTTTTCAAGTCCCAGCAGTCATCTCCTAAAGGCTCTGAAGGAGACACACTTGAGTTTTGGGATAGTTGTACATCCCCTGGACTTGGTCCCCATTTCTGTGTTATCTGCTATAAACAGTGTGTCCAGTTACCAACACAAAAGTGTTCTTCAAGTTGGAGCAAGGACAAGAGCCATGGCTGTTGAAGGGAAAGGGCCCACAGTGTAGCAATCCAGGTGAATGACAAAAGGCCTTTTTGCCATTCATCAGTGAGGGAAAAACACATTTGAAATACTTCTGACAAAGCATCTATACGCTAGAGACCTTTGGTAGTGCCTGGGTATAGCTGACATAACAGCATCAGAACTCCACGTGACTACGTCAGTTTTACTCTTCACACCTAAGTGCTCTTTCTCTTTGTGTGAAGAGCTGCCCTTCTCTCTGCTCTGGATCCTCACATTGCCTGTTTGATCTGTTAAGTGCTGTTGAGTCAGCCCAAACTCAAAGCAGTCTTCTGTGCAGCAGAATGCAACACTGCCTGAGCTTTCACCATCCACACCCTCACTTTAAGCTTGGGCTCCTTGTTTCAGCTCCAAGGCCAGTCCTTACTGAGGGTTATCTTTTTGGGGAATCCTCTGCTTCAACAAGCATGATCTCTTTCTCCAAATATCTGTTTCATCTAGGTCTTGCTTTCTCTTAATTCCTTAAACTCTCAATTTGATTCCTGTTGTGAATGAAATGGTATCCTTCAAAATAAGTATTATAATTCCTAACTTCTGTGTCTGGCAAGGAGCCCTGGTGTTGTAGTGTACAATGTATTGGGCTGCTAACCCAACAGTTCAGATCCACTAGCTGCAACTTCAGAGAGAGATAGACAGTCTCCTCTAAAGATTTTCAGCCTTAGAAATTGGATAGAGGGTCACTCTGAGTCAGAACCACGTGGAAGGCAGTGGGATGCCTGTGGTTAGAATCCCTTTGGGGTTGGTTGTCATTGTTACTTTAAAAGGGCAGATAAGGGTGTGTCTTGGGTCTTTCTCTTTGCAAATATAAAAGAGATTAACACGTTACTGCAGACAGTACTACACGGGGGGGGGGGTGCGGAAATGTGTTTCTAAGCACGGTCGTCAATTTAAAAGTGTGTGGCAACATGTTAAACAAGAAAGAAAAGCAAAGGTGAGAAAGATACCAAGACACATGGATATCTCCAAGGAACTTGTTAGATGCCATCGAGTCGAGTATAACTCACAGCAACTCTAAAACAACTGAACCCTGGCCTCCCTGTGCCATCCTCACAATCTCTCACACACTTAAGCCCATTGCCACAGTGACTGTCAACCCCCTAGTTGAGGATTTTCCTCTTCTTTGCTAACCCTCCACCTTCTCAACCATGATGGCCCTCTCTAAGGAATAACCTCTCCTAGCAACATGCCCAAAGTGTATAAGACAAAGCTTCATCATCTTTGCTTCCAAGGAGCACTCTAAATGCACTTTCTCCAAGATATCTGTTCTCTTGGTGGTCCATGGGATGGATACTCAGCGCTCTTCTCCAATACTACATTTTAAAGGTATCAACTCTTCTGTCATCCTTGGTTATTGCCCAGCTCTCAGATGCATAGCGAGTGATTGAAATGACCATGGCCTGAATCAGGAACACCTTTGTCCTCAGTCTGACATCATTGCTCTTTAGTAATTTGGAGAGGTCCCTGACTATAGACTTTACCAGTGCAATGTGTCTTCTGATCTCTTAACTGTTGGTACCAACCATATTGATTGTGAATGCAAATAAGATGTAGTTGTTGACAGTCTCAACTTTATTCTCCATTTATCATGATATTGCTTATCATTCTAGTAACAAGGATTTTTACAAATTTTTTACATTTTATTATTATTATTATTAACTTTAATGAACACTTACAGAGACTTTGGATTTCCATTCATTCATTGTTGCACTTTTCTCCCTGCCAACCCCTCCCCTGCAGTTCACTCTTCTCTTTGAAAAGTAAAATTCTTTCATTGTTATACAATTCCTACCCCCAAATCCACTACACTGTGCAGCCTTCATTCTGGACTCTTGTCATGACAATCATACCTAATCATATATCCCTTTTAAATAGTTCTCTCCCTCATCTGTTTTAAGCAGTATACATAATTTATCGCATCTTTCTCAGTCTCTCCCCAAACACCGATGTTAGTCCCATTATACAACAGTGGAACTGTGCAGTATTTGTCCTTTTGTGACTGATATCTTTCACTCAGCATAGTGTCCTCCAGAGTCAACCATTTTGTATAATATTTCAGGAGTTCCTTGTTTTTCAATGCAGTGTAGTATTCCATTGTGTGAATATACCAGAACTTCTTTATCTATTCATTTGTTGATGGGCACTTGGGTTTTTTCCAACTCTGCTATTGTGAACAAAGCTGCAGTAAGTATGGGTGTGCATATATCTTCTTGGGTGGCAGTTATGGTCTCTTTGGGGTCAGGCAGAATAAAATTATTAATATGACAATCTATAATAGGGATAAGAATGCCTTGCCTTTGAATGATCTGCTGTGCATTTGTGTTGCGGACTGAGGGTAAAGTATTTTAATAATTATTTACAATGAGACAGACGACCAAGAATGAGATAGAACAGAGAGCATGAAAAACAGGGGGCCAGCAGTTCTCTATTGAAGACTCCTATTCCAGCTTCCCTGTACCTTTATTGAAAATTATCAGGAAGTAAATCAAAGAGAATTCAAGGCAAATGAAGACAAGCTCTGTCTATTGAAAACCTTCCTCCAGACTCAGGAGGGAGGGGTCAGCAAATACAATGCAAGAATCCTGTAAACCCTTAAAGATTGCCTTGGTGCCTCAGGGTGAATTTTAGCTGGAACCATGCCTCCCCAACATCTTGAGATGGCATTCAGTTTATTACAAGTATTTAGTATTGGCTTCCCATACATTTATGCTCCTGGACTTTCCAGGAAAGAAGGAATCTTAGCTGTATGTGGAATTGGAGCCCTGACTGCTGATAAGGGGTAAGAGGGCTTCAATGAGATGAGAGGGCTTGGGTGAGATGAGAGGGCTGCTGTTGCAGGACTTCCCCTAAAAGTGACTGATGTTGTATAGGGTGATTAGGAGGGGGAAAGAGATATGAATGAGAGAAATCATGATAATCTAGCAATTAGATTGTAAATATTAAATATCCCAAACTTTATCTGTTGTCTGCTATTTTCCCTTAACTCTGTTGTCCTGTATTCCTCTAGTAACCCCGTCCCGTGACTAGATCTCCATATAGATCTAACCCTACATCCTTATTGAGTAACCTTTGGACTTCCTTTGAACTATACTCATGTACCTTGTGCCTATTTTACTACCTTTCTGTAGGTCACAAGTTAAGGCATATATTCTCATTATTGGCATTTTTTCCTTTTTCCTCATCGGCAGTTTTATTCTTGAAGCTCTGGAGCTAGAAAAATGAAAAACTTTGTTACAGAATGGAAGATGAAATTTGAAAACACTGAAATTTGGTTCTATATTATGTTGCTTGAAGAAATTAATTGGGAATATTTTATTTGTACTTTTGTTTGTTTTTTTTAAGAAACTGACTGCCTACTTGGTGAAGAACCAGAGGAACACCAGGAAAGCAAAGACAGTTTTCTGATGTCAGTTCCATTCACATTAAGTGAGATTCAAACTATGGAGAGACTCCGCCATTATGATATGAACACAAGTCTAAATGCTACAATACAAAAATCACATTATTGTAAATCATATGAGAAGAGTTTGCAACCTAATTTAGATTTACTTAATCATAATAGCTTAGATTTACTTCATCATGATAGTGGCTATCCAGGAGAAAACACTTATGAATGCAATGTATGTGGGAAAGTCTTCAAAAAGAAGTTTGTTTTTATTAGACATGAAAAAAATCATGCAGGAATAAAAACCTATGAATGCAGTGACTGTGGGAAAGCTTACAGCAGGAAGACACACCTTGAAACTCATCAGAAAATACATAATGGAGAGAGACCTTTTGTATGCAGTGATTGTGGGAAAGCTTTTATGCATAAATTCCAACTTGTGATCCACCAGAGACTCCACACTGGAGAGAAACCTTATGAATGCAACACATGTGGGAAAACCTTCACTTGGAACTCCCCCTTTAATCAACATGTGAAATCTCATACACTTGAACTCATTTGAATGTAAAGAGCGTGGGAAAACCTTTCAGGTATAGTTCATCCCTTTATAAACATTCTAGATTTCATATAGGAGAGAAACCCTACCAATGTATTGTATGTGGCAAAGCCTTCGACAATACATCAGTTCTTGTTACACATTTAAGAATTCATACAGGAGAGAAACCCTATGCATGTATTAAATGTGGCAAAGCCTTCATCAAGAAGTCCCACCTGCTTAGACATAAGATAACCCACACAGGAGAGAAGCCCTATGAATGTAACAGATGTGGGAAAGCATTTTCCCAGAGATCAAATCTTATTGTATATCAGAAAACTCATGTGTAATAATTATAATTTATAATAATAATTTATAATTATGAAATTATTAAATATATATCTTTTTCACATAATATTTTAAATATTCCTGTTCTTTTTCACTGATGTATCTTTATAATGTTACAGATATAGCTCAAGTAGTATTTTGAGGCACCACTGGGATTTTGATAAAGTAGTATCCCATACTTTGGGCATGTTGCAAGGAGGGACTGGTTCTTGGAGAGGGACATCACGTTTGGCAGAGTAGAGGGGCGGCGAAGGAGAGGAAGATCTTCAATGAGATGGATTCTGTGACTGGAGTGGTGGGAATAAGTGCATTTGAGATGGCTAGGCTGGCACAGGATAGAAGGTGTTTAGAGCTCTTCTACATAGGGTTGCTATGAGTTGCAAACTACTCGATGGCACATAACAACAACAACAAGTATCCCATGATATTTTTCAACTTTTAAGGAGACATATTTTCAATATTTTGTTGCTTAAAAAAGAATTAAAGCAGTTTAGTTCCTAGGAGTGTGTGTCAGAGTGGAATTGTGCTCTGTAGGTTGTCAAGCCTTTCTTCTGAAGCACCTTTGTGTGAAACTGCATCTCCCAGAGTTTTGTATTCAAGATTCTTGGAAAGAGTAAGTTTTCCTGCTTAGCAACTTGGGCCTTGTGCTGTCCTCACAATTGCTGTTGTTTGAGCCCATTGTTCTACCTTATCCATTTAAAAGATGCACCAGACATTATTTAAGCTAAAGTTTTCATTGTTCTCCTTAAAACTTGATAATTGTCAAAAGCTTTTACGTCTTTTCTTAAGTGATGTCAAAGTCAATTAATAACATTGAGCTTGAACCTAAATTCAGAAATCAAGTTTTTTCCTTTAAAACTCAAAATCAGTTATAAAGACGTTGTATTATTTTCTTTCATTAGCCATTTTTTGGAAGAGTAATATGGGATGGATTGACTCGGTAACTGGTGTAGTTGGGTTAGATGTGTTGGAGACAGTGATACTGGCTCAGGATAGGGCAGGGTTCAGAGCTACTGTGTATAGGGTCAATATGAGTCACAGGCAGCAACAGCACATAACAACAACAATATTGAGTGGCATAACAACAATGTTATGTAATAACTATAAATGAATGATAGTGCTTTTTGAAGCAGACATAAAAGTTGGTAATAAATCTTGTCTTTCAAAATTGTTTAGGAAACTATGTGCTAATTTCACCTATGCAGTTGTTCTAAAAAAATCTGGACCTCTTTTTTTTTTTTTGGATTCCATAGGATCAATTTGCCAACCACACAGGAAAATATTTATTTACCCTTACAGGACTTGCCTTTTCCCAGCTCATCCACTTTCCTTCTTTCCTCCATGAAGTCTTAGTTTTGCCTACATAATGCTTATCATTGCAGCCTTACCTCTCTTGCCCATGCTCTTCATCTGAAAAACTCCAGACAGAACTCAACTCTACAAAGAGGACACCTTTTAGGAAGGCGTAGGGTGTCTTTAAGTCAAAGTGGCCAAAAATATGCACCGGTCTACTTTAACTCATGGGAATAAGATGAAATGGAGGTGAGCGTTAATTTGGAATACGTAAAGAATCATGTCATCTATTCCATAAATTTGTTTGCTTCCTTTCATAAATGAGGAGAACAATGTCGTTTTGGTTCAAATGGACCAGATGCTCCATGGGGGCAGGGGGAATGGGCAGTCTCCTCTGAAAACTCAATGGAGGGTTAGCTGTCTGTTGATGCTGACTTGAAGGCAGTGAGGTTTTGAGTCTGAAGGAACCATATAATTTATATTCCATAAATTAATCTGCTTCTTTTCTTAAATGGAAGGAATGTTATAATTTGCTGTCAAATTGGAACCAACTCAGCTGACCTTCCAGCATGTTTTCAGAGGCAATAAAGACGGCATGGAAGGAAAACACCCATCCTCCCACAGGGCAGCTGGTGGATTTGAACTGCTTGTCTTTGGGATTATAGCACAGTTTCTTACAAGAGCTCCAAATGGAAGGAATAATATAGTCATATTGACCTAAGTAAGGTGCTTTGGTGGCATAGTGGCAAGAAGCTGCACTGCAATCCCAAAGACACAAGGTTTAAGGCCACCAGATGCTCCACAGAAGAAGGATAGGTAATCTCCCATGCCACTAACTGCCTGTGAAAACACACTAGAGGGTCAGCTATGGGTCGGTTCCAACTCTAGTCCCCAACAACAACACTGACTTACATAGTAAAAGTAAGGTAAATAAATGCTCAGTAATGGGCAAATATAAACTGCAACCTACAGATAGGTCCCTGATTTCCTCTTCTTAGGCTGTGCAAGATTTTGGCAAGATTATAAAACTATGCTCCATCTTATCCAAACATTTCAGATTCCAGAATTTCATGGTCTTCGGTGAAAACAATCGCAATCTAAGAAATCACTTGGTTTTTCCCATCTCAATGTGTATGTCACTGTCACACCCAAGGTTGTTGAATTCTGCTCACAGTTCTAGCTATCACATCTGAGGTCATCAGCCAAAGCCAGGCACTCAGGTTCAGTGGTTAATGTGGAAAAAACACCGGGAACTGAGGGAATCGGAAATACCACTTGATTCTGGTCCACAAAGACTGTAGGGAGGAGGTGAGTCCTGAGCCCCATGGGAATTTTCTCACTTTCTCATTGCTCAGGGCAATGGTAGCATTTTGCCACACTTGCATAGTAGTCACCTTATTACACTAGGCACCTGTGCAGTTACAATTGTTGTTGTTGTTAGGTATCATCGAGTCAAGTACAACTTGTAGTGACCCTGTGAATGCAAGATCTGAACCCTGTTCTATCCTGTGCCATCCTCACACTTCCTGATACACAAGAGCCCATTGCCTCAGTCACCGTGTCAATCTGCCTAGTTGAGGGTCTTCTTCACCAACCCTCCACCCTTCCCAGCATCATATCCTTCTCTAAGGAATAGCCCCTCCTAGCAACATGCCCAAAGTACATGAGACAAATCCTCCTCATTCATAATACTGATTCAGCAAAATGGACTGTGCTTGTTCAAATATGGCACTGTTGTTGTTGTTGTTATGTGCCGTAGAGGCGCTTGCAACTCATAGCGACCCTATGTACAACAGCCCTAAACTCCGCTCTGTCCTGTGCCAATCGCACTGTCTCTGACACTCCCATCCCAATTATCCCAGTCACTGAATCAATCCACCTCATAGAGGGCCTTCCTCTCCTGCGCTGTCCCTCCACCCTCCCAAGCATGATGTCCCTCTCCAAGGACCGGTCTCTCCTCACAACATGTCCAAAGTATGTTAGACGGAGCCTCAGAATCCTTGCCTCCAAGGAGCCACCCGATTTAACCCTTTTCAGGACAAATCTGTTTTCCTAGCAGTCCATGGTATTCTCAATACTCTTCTCCAGCACCACAGCTCAAAGGCATCACTTATCTAAAGCACATTATTGTTGTTATGTGCTGTCAAGTCAGAACCAACTCATAGCTGATTCTCCAGTGGTTTTTCAGAGGCAGTAAATTGCATGGACGGAGATTGCTCAAACTCCTGCAGAGCAGTCAATGGATTCAAACCTCATGCCTTTGGGAAGCTTCTTACCACTAGGCCACCTGCCTGTCACGTGAATGTGTAGTACATTATCGTATCCTACGGTTACACTTCGAGATTTTCTATTCTTGTGTAAAAAGGTCACTTCATAATACATCTTTCTCTTTTATTCATACAAAGATAAAACCCTGGCATTTTCTTCCAATGAAATTTCATTTCCTTCAATTTTCTAGACATTAAGCCGTGTTTATTTTGTGGTTTTCTTATGCAAGGATTCATTCTCTTGTTCTTGACTGCTTTCTCCATTACTTCCTTACAGTTTACAGTGATTACTCACACACATGTTGGGACCAGAATCTACTGGACACACAACAAGGTGGTGGTTGTTGTTGTTAAGTGCCATTGAGTCAAATATATAGTGACCCTGTGAAGAACAGATCTGAATATTGTCCTATCCTGTGCCATCCTCATTATCTCTGATACCCTTGAGCCCATTGCTGCAGTTACCATGTCAATCCATGCCATTGGGGGTCTTCCTCTCTTCAACTAACTTTCCACCCTTCCAAGCATGACATCCTTTTACCAAGGAATAGACTCTCTTAGCAACATGTCCAAAGTATGAGAGACAAAGATTTCCCAACTTTGCCTCTAAGGAGCACTTGGCTGCATTTTTTTTTAAGACATACCTGTTCACTTCTTGCCAGTCCATGGAATATTTTGGTACACTTCTCCAGAACCACAACTCAACAGCATCGATTCTTCTGTCATCCTTATTCACTATCCAGCTTTCAGCAGCATAGTAAGTGACTGAAAGACCATTGCCTGAAGCAAGTACACCTTAGTCTTCAAACTGACATCATTGCTCTTCCATATTTTTAGAGAAGTTCCTGACAGTGGACTTGTCCAAACCAATACATCTCCTTATCTCCTGATTGCTGGTACCAATGGTGATGACTGTAGATCCAAGCAAGATGAAATCATTAGCAATTTCAATCCTTTATTATCTATCAAGATGTTACTATCAGTCCACTGGGGAGAATTTTTGTTTTCTAAATGTGGAGATGTAATCCATATTGAAGGCTATAGATTTTGCTCTTCTGCAACAAGCTCTTCAGGGCCCCCTTGCTTTTAGCAAGCAAGGTGTGTCATCTGCCTAGCCAGGTTGTTGATGAGTCTTCTTCAGATCCTATTGCCACATTCTTCTTCATAAGAGTCTGGCTTCACAAAGTATTTTCTCAGCATTCAGATTGAATAGATGAGGAGCAATGGTACAAACAGTGATGTACACCCTCCCACAGTAGTGGCTGTTGTTTTAGAAACATGAGATTGTACACTTCTTTGCTTCAAAAGCTGCCATTATCTCAGACATAGAAAGAACAGATTGTTACTTAACCTTTGAGAGTGTGTGTGGGGGGAAGTGAATCAACTTGGGATTTTCAGTAAGATTTATAGGGATTTAGGGATCTCCAAGAACAAGACTTTGCAAGATCTACCGCATTCTCATCTTCACTTCCTGGCACTTTGCTCTTCCTGGTTTCCAGGCTGTTCTTTTATACTTTTAAAATATAAAATTTCCCATACCAGCAAGCTCTACTGACCTGACTTCGGATTTTTTTTTCTGCCTAAATACTTATTATACTTGGGCCTCCAGTTATAAATTAGGTCCTGGGCATGCCACTCACCAACTCCCATTAAATGAGTAAATTTGAGTAACTAGTGTTGTTGTTGTTGTTATGTGCCGTCAAGTCGCTTGCGACTCATAGCGACCCTATGTACAACAGCCCTAAACTCTGCTCTGTCCTGTGCCAATCAAACTGTCTCTGACACTCCCATCCTGATTAGCCCAGTCACCTCATAGAGGGCCTTCCCCTCCTGCACTGTCCCTCCACCCTCCCAAGCATGATGTCCCTCTCCAGGGGCTGGTCCCTCCTTACAACATGCCCAAAGTATGTTAGACGAAGCCTCAGAATCCTTGCCTCCAAGGAGCTGCCTGGTTTGACCCTTTCCAGGATGAATCTGTTTGTTTTCCTATAAGTCCATGGTACCCTCAATACTCTTCTCCAGCACCACAGCTCAAAGGCATCATATTAATTCCATATTAATTACTAGTGTGGTCCAGTTAGAAATAAGATAAAATAAAAATACCAGAGAGCATAGGGAAAGTGGAGAAGAGATGAGTAGGATTCTCTGTGTTGTTCTGCAAAACAGTGGAAATAGCTTTAGTCTTGTTAAGGACAGATAAAAAAACTTTAGGGCCAATTAGAAAAGTACAGAAATATGTATACTTCACAAACCTGAAGAAGGAAATAATGGAAGCATAATAAATTCAACAGGACAGGAGAAGTAAAAATTGCAAAAAAAAAGATACAGTAAGTAGAAAAAACTAAAGGCAGAAATAAGAACATATTAAAAAATCCTACTACCTGCAGATGGGTTAAACTTATCTTTATAAGAAAGAAATAATAATCTGGTATATTTTTTTTCTTTTCACAACACTTAATAACTTTGCCATTTCTTTTGCAAACTAACCACATCTTATGCCCAGTGAGCTTCGGCCATTGCACATGTCTTGCCACCTTGACCTTTCAAGCAGTTCTTTCAAGAGGATTCTGTACTGTACAAGCAAGGATGGAGTCCTAGAAACCCTTCCTAGTGGTGTCTTCCTGCTGTCCCAGGTATGTTTGGAGTCTCTCCAAAGGGAGAGAAATTAACAGTACCTTTATTGCTGTATGACTCTCTGCTGTGGTTAAAGTTATTTTCATTTCTTATTTGTGTGTTTGTTACTGACTTAATGTGCAGGTGTTCTGTATTCCTGGGTGTTCAATTTTAGATTTTCATTTCATTTTGAGGATAGGGGGTGGTCCTTCCTGCTTTTCCCAGTGACCTATGAATGAATTTGTGCTTGGGCCCAGAAGTGTTGGCCTAATTCTTGAGTACGGTGTACGTGTATGTAGGCTGACTCCCTTCCTGAGGCATCTTGACCCAAAAACACATAACATAATGGTCTGTCAGCACATTCCTTCTCGTCTGTTCTGAGCACATGTTAATGTTTTCAAGAACTGCCTGGCTAAGCATGTGCATCATATAGCACCTGGCCAACCCAGCTGCTGTTGTCTGTTGCTGCTGGGAAGCCTGCAGCACAGGAGGGCTGGGTGGGCTGTGCAGTGAACTCTCTTGGTCGTGGGAGACCAACACTCACTATAGTTCTGCTCTTCTCTATTCAAGTGAAGCATTGTTCCATCTGGTGCCGGTGTGAGCTGTGTCTGTCCTGATGACTCCTGTAATTTAGCATCACTACTACATTGTCTACATCCACGAGGGGTAAGACTCAGCATTAGCACAAAGCTGGGTTCTATGAGGTGGAGTTTACACATACCATCACTTGCCAGGTTTTTCACCATTTCCGATACCAGCCACCCCATTCTGCCCCTCACAACAGTCTACATATCTGCTGGATTTGATACCTCATGGCAGTAGCCACACGGACAGAACCACAGGTCACACTCACAGCTATGTAGTTTATTAAGAGACTAAAAGGCTACAACTCAGGATCAGGATCCACTTGGAAGTAATAGGCAACATCTCAGATGAGAGAATCAACTTTATCAAGCAGGACAACTTGCAGCCACCTCTCAGTTCTTGGACTGTGCTCACAGACGGCCCTTCATGGCTATGCCCACAGGAAGGCCACCCTTCTGTTGGCCGTGCACAGAGGCAGGCCCTGTTCTAGGCTGTGCCTGTGCCCTTCAGTTACGCATGTAGCTTTCTCTGGCTCCAGCCTCCCCTCTGTTAACTGGCCTGGTTCATGGAAGATGGAGCAGCCGCCCCCTTGATGCTATCTGCCAGCAGCAGCTTTCTGCTGTCATCACCGGCTTTGCTGCCAGGCTCCCCCAGGCCTCTGCGCTGCTCAAGCAAGTGTTACAGCGCTTTTAGTTCTGCTGACAAATGCCCAGAGACACACAGCTCTGCCAGCAAGCATCCTGCCCCAAGGTGCTCAGTTTTTATTCTCCACAGCCTGGTAAGGCATCTGCAGTTCCTGCTTCTTCAAGTTGACTGCAGTCTCCTCTCTCCAAGGGCCAGCAAGGCCACGACAGTATCTCCACCCAGTCGCCTGCTCACTGCCCTCACACTGCTTTCCCTGTTTTCTCTGTTACTGAACTCATCTGTGTTTCCTGCCGTTTTTTGCTGTGTTGCTCTGTTTTCAGTGTTACTGCCCTATCTTCTGGGTCTGGGAGGGTTACAGTGTAGGGACCTTGGGCCCCTGGGACATTCTGTTTTAGACTGTTCCAGATGGCAGAAAAGTCCCCTCTAAATCTCTGTGGAACTGGCCTTTGTATAAGCAAACTCTTTGTTAATTTTTAAGGCATGACACCCTACCCGCCACCCCAGCAGGACCACGAACCTACCAATCCCCATAACTAGCTCAATCCTATTTAGGTGGTTTTACACACCACTAAAGGAAAAATCAACACCCATGGTAACAGTAGTCAAGAAATCAAAAGACGTGTTACACTGGGAAAATCTGCTGGCAAAGACCTTTCCAAATTACTAAGGAACAATGATGTCAGTTTAAGGACTAAGGGGCACCTGATTCGAGCCATGGCCTTTTCTTTCTATGCACCTGAAAGTTGTACAACGAGTGAGAATGACAGATGAATTGATCCTTTTGGATCGTGGTGTTGTAGGAGAGTGTCGACTATCCCATAGACTGCTAAAGAACAAACAGTTCTGTCCTGGAGGAAGTGCAACAAGGGTGCTCCTCAGAGGCAAGGATGGCGAAACTTTTTCTCATATAGTTTGAGCGTGTTGTCAGGAGGATCTTGTAAAACAAACAAACAAACAAACAAACAAACAACCAAAAAAAGCCCACAAAACAAAACAACACCAAACATCATATCTGGAAATAAGGAAAGTCAGGGGAAAAGAGGCAGACTCTCAACATGATGAACTGACACACTGATTGTAACAGTGGGTGAGTAATATCAGAGATAGTGAGGCTGGTGCAGGATCGGGCAGGGCTCAGGTGCATTGTCCACAGGGTTGCTATGAGTTGCAGCTGACTCCACAGAACCTAACAAAAAAGGAAAACTAGGAAATAAGGGTGGGGTAGTCTGTAGGGAGTTGTGCTGCTAACCCAAAGACCAGAAGTTTGGATCCATCAGCGCTTTCTAACCAAAAGGCCAGAGGTTTGGATCCACATTGACTCCCCGGGAGACCTGTGGAAAATCTGTGTAATTGATGGTCCTGAAAACCCAGTGGAGGGTCATCTACCAGTCAGAACCAAGTTGATGGCAATGAGAAAGAAAGGAGCCTTGGAATGCTGGTGGGACAGTGTTCAGCATGTTGTGCTGTTAACCAAAAGTTGGCACTTTGAATCTGCTGGCTGCTCCTCAGGAAAAAGATAGACTGTTTCCTCCCATAAACATTTACAGCCTCAGAAACCAAAATGGATGGAGGGTCACTTTGAATTAGTTAGAGTTGACTTGATGGCTGCGTATTAAAGGCACATTGGTGATGTAGTGATTTATCTTTGCTAACCAGGCTGGGTTTAGAAGGGGTCTTGGTACTAAGGATATTGTAGCTAATGTTAGATGGATCTTAGCTGAAAGCAGGGAATACCAGAGGAAAGTCTATCTGTGTTTCATTGACTTTGCAAAGGCATTTGACTGTGTGGATCATAACAAACTGTGGCTGACTCTGAGAAGAATGGGAATCCCAGAACACTTGATCATGCTAATGCGAAACCTATACTTGAACCAAGAGGCAGTTGTTAGAATGGAGCAAGGAAACACTGCATGGTTCAAAATTGGGAAAGGCATACTCCAGGGATGTGTCCTATCTCCGTACCTTTTCAACCTGTATGCAGAACAGATTATCCGAGAGGCTGGGCTCTATGAGGAGAAATGTGGGGTCAAGATTGGTGGAAGATATATCAACAATCTGCATTATGCAGATGACACAACCCTGCTTGCTGTAACTGAGGAGGATCTGAAGTGCTTGCTGCAGAGGGTCAAGGATTGCAGCCTCCAATATGGATTGAGGCTCAATGTGAAGAAGACAAAGATTCTCACCACTGGACCAATTGGCAACATCAGGATGGATGGTGAAGAGATTGAAATTGTACACAGCTTTAGTTTGCTTGGCTCCACAGCCAACACTCTTAGCACCAGTAGACAGGAAATTAAAAGACGCATTGTCATGGGAAAGTCTGCTGTTAGGGACCTCTCCAAAGTACTGAAGAGCAATGGTGTCTCTCTGGAGACTAAGGTGCATCTGATACAGGCCATGGTCTTTGCTATCACTTGTTATGCATCAGAGAGTTGGACAATGACTAAGGAGCATAGAAGGAGAATTGATGCCATTGAGCTGTGGTGCTGGAGAAGAGTATTGAGGGTATCATGGACTGCTAGGAAAACAAACAGATTCATCCTGGAAAAGGTTAAACCGGTCGGCTCCTTGGAGACAAGGATTCTGAGGCTCCTTCTAACATACTTTGGACATGTTGTAAGGAGAGATCAGTCCTTGGAGAGGGACATTATGCTTGGGAGGGTGGAGGGACAGCACAGGAGGGGAAGGCCCTCTATGAGGTGGATTGATTCAGTGACTGGGGTAATTCAGATGAGAGTGTCAGAGACAGTGCGATAGGCACAGGACAGAGCAGAGTTTAGGGCTGTTGTACATAGGGTCGCAATGATTCGCAAGTGACTCGATGGCACATAACAACCACCACCAAAAATTAGCTATTCAAATCCACCTATTAGAATCCAATCCTTCTAAGGGAGAATGATGGGCGTCTGTTAAAGATGTAGAGCCTTGGAAATCCAACAGAGAGTTACTAGGAGTTGAAAACGACTCAACAGCAGTCCTGTGTGTGCCTCTGTGTGTGTCTAGCACAAGGATCCCTGGGAGTGTAGTGGTTAAAAAGTTAAAAACTTAGCTGCTAACTTCAGATTCAGCAGTTTGACTTTTTTTGTTTTTTCTCCAAATTCAGCAGTTTGGACCCATCAGCTGCTCTGCAGGAAACAGTTTGCTGTAAATATTTACAGCCTCAGAAACCCTCTATGGCAGTCATTGCTATAGATTGAATTGTATCCTACAAAACTATGTTTTGTAAATCCTAATCCACATACAAGGGAGCTCTGGTGGCATAGTCTATGGGGAGTTAAATGGCTAACTCAAAAGACATGTCCCTCAGACAGTTTGAATCCACCAGCTGCTTCCTGGAATAAAGAAGGGCTATCTCCTTTTAGGCTATTTACAGCCTCAAAAACTTCCTATTTGACAGCAACAAGTTTGCATTTTTGATCCATATGCTTACGAACTTATGAATGTAAACCCATTTGGAAATAGGGCTTTCTTTATTGAATAGGAACCAACTCATAGATATCCCTCGAGATGATAGAAGAGGAATTGATGCCTTTGGGTTGTTGTGCTGGAGAAGAGTATTGAACATACTATGGACTGGCAAGAGAACAAATAGGTTTATCCTGGAGAAGGTGAAACCAGGCTGCTCCTTAGAGATAAGGATTTTGAAAATCCATCTCATATACTTTGGGTATGTGGCCAGGAGGGACCAGTCCCTGGAGAAGGACATCATGCTTGGAAGCATGGAGGGACCGCGCAGGAGAGGAAGACCCTAGATGAGATGAATTGATGCAGTAACTGGAACAGTGGTGGTGTGTCAGAGGCAGTGAGATTGGCTCAGTGTTCAGAGCTATTATACATAGGTCGCTGTGAGTCACAGCCTACTCGATGACACATAACAACAACAGCAACAACAACAATCAGTGTAGAATATGTCTTAAGATAATTAGGTAAAAAGAGCAGAGTAGGCGCAAAGAGGAAAGACTGATGCCACAGACATTTGGCAAGAACTGAGGGCCAGGAGCTGAAAGAAACAAAGATCTCCTAGAACCAACATGAAGAGCTATTCCCTGGAGCTGGTACCCTGAATTCAGCTTTGGTGGCATAATACATAGTATGTTGAACTGTTAACCAAAAGTCAGCTGTTTAAATCCACCAGCTGCTTCACAGGGCAAAAGGTGGACAGTGTCCTCCTGTTAGAATTTGCAGGCTTAGAAACTTGACAGAGGTCACAGTGAGTCAGAATTTCACAGCAGTGGGTTTGGTTGGTTGGTGTTCTTTTTTAAAACTATGAGAAAATAGATTTCCGTACATAAAAGTCACCCACTTGTGGAATTTCTGTCATAGCAGCACTAAGAAATAATAATACGCTCTTTGCCATTCCCCCGTGTGGTGGTACTTCTCCCCAGGAGGTAGTTGTTATTGTTAGAGTCTGCTCTGGATTATATTGTTGTTAGGTGCTGTCAAGTCAGTCAGGAATCAATCACAGCGACCCTCTGAACAGCCAACCTGAACCCTGGTTTATCCTGTGCCGTCCTCATTATCTCTGACGCCCTAGAATCTATTGCTAAAGCCACCATGTCAATTCATCTCATTGGGATCTTCCTCTCCTTCACTAACCCGCTATCTTTTCAAGCATGATGACCCATTCCAAGGAACAGCCTCACCTAGCTACATGTCCAAAATATGAAAGACTAACTTCACCATCTTTTCCTCCAAGGAGCACTCTGGCTGCTTCTTCTCCAAGACATATCTGTTCTTTTGGCAGTCCATGGGATATTCAGTACCCTTCTCCAAACACTGCCACTCAAAAGCATCATTTTTTTGGTCATCCTTACTCATTGTCCAGCTTTCTGATTTGTAGCTGGTGATTAAGAAGACCATGGCCTAAATCAGGTATACCTTCATCTTCAAGCTGACATCATTGCTCTTCAGCATTTTGGAGAGGTCTCTGATTGTGGATTTGCCCAATGCAATACATCTCCTGATTTCCTAACTGCTGGTACTAAGGATTTTGATTGTTGGTCTAAGCAAGATGAAATAATTGATAGCTCCAATCCTTTCTCCAT